ATGTGGTAGTGTCCTTGGGCCTGTGGCACTTGGGCCAAATGTTAATTGATTTGGGGATGAACATTCTTTAAAGTGGCACAGCAGTGTTCTATTTGCTCTACTGAAGTAACTTGGAGTTGCTCTAATGTCTAATGCTGGACACCTGTGCCATAGGTGTGTCAAACACCATAATGGCTACCCATTGTGGGCAGTGTTTGGTGAAGCTCCCAGTTTTAAGACAGGTTTGGAAGCGGGCATGGCATCTACTTCCTAAACAACATGCCTCCGGAAACTATATGAACTTGGACGATAGTTATAGAAAAGCTTCAGGCCTTTTTTCGTAGGGTCACTATGAGTTATGCTTGACTTGATGACAATCAACAACAGTCAGTTGTGTTAGAGAGTTCTGATCCCTGTATCTTCACCAACATTTGTCTGCTGAACTATTTGACAATTAGCAATATGGAAGAGAACATGAGTTATAAAGCAAATTGTGGGCGAGGAAGAGGGCACATAAGCATAATTGAATGAATAAAAAGCCAATCTCTTTGTAAACTTTCACTAAAGCCACAATTAAAAAAAAAACAAATCCATAAAATATTCAGTAATCATTGTTTCCACTGTGATTTCTATCTTGCTTATTCTATTGACATTTTTCATGAAAGTCATTAACTGCTTCATTTCTAAAGCACCTTTTCACCTTTTACTGTGGTGAACTTTGCCTGACACTGTTGGCAATACATTTAATGAAAATAAAAATGCCTTAGATATGTTATATATAATATTTTTATACACAATGACTGCTTCCTTTATCTCTGAGTCCCATTTTCCTTTCCTTTTGTAGTATCTCTCCCAGTTCTGCATTTTCTGTTTCGGCCACCTCTTCCAAGTTGGTTTGGTATTTTTTTTTTTTTTTGGAAAATTTTATGGTACTATTTATTGAAGTTTAATTTACATGCAACAAAAATTACCTGTTGCCACTATTCAGTTGAAAACCATTTTCTTCCACATCTTTTATATTTCACTGGTGTATTACCTACTATTTTATTTTTGCCTTTGGAGTGATTCTTGAAAAGATTTGCAGAATTATTTCTCCATTCTAAATTACTTAATAGAAAACTGTATTTTGTATTATCACTGTAAAACTTATGGGCAATGTGCATGCTTTTTACAAATATTTGACTTATCTAATGGCTTAAAACGTTTCATTAAATAAAAGTTGTTTTGTTTGTTGTTATGTGCCATCGAGTCGCTTGCGACTCATAGCGACCCTATGTACAACAGCTCTAAACTCCGCTCTGTCCTGTGCCAATCACACTGTCTCTGACACTCCCATCCCAATTATCCCAGTCACTGAATTAATTCACCTCATAGAGGGCCTTCCTCTCCTGCGCTGTCCCTCCACCTCCAAAGCATGATGTCCCTCTCCAAGGACTGGTCTCTCCTCACAACATGTCCAAAGTATGTTAGACGGAGCCTCAGAATCCTTGCCTCCAAGGAGCCACCCGGTTTAACCCTTTCCAGGAAAAGTCTGTTTTCCTAGCACTCCATGGTATTCTCAATACTCTTCTCCAGCACCACAGCTCAAAGGCATCAATTCTCCTTCTATCCTCCTTGGTCATTGTCCAATTCTCTGATGCATAACAAGTGATTGCGAAGACCATGGCGTGTATCAGACGCACCTTAGTCTCCAGAGAGACACCATTGTACTTTGGAGAGGTCCCTAACAGCAGACTTTCCATGGCAATGCACCTTTTAATTTGCTGGCTGCTGGTGCCAAGACTGTTGACTACAGAGCCAAGCAAACTAAAGCTGTGTACAATCTCAATCTCTTCACCATCCATCCTGATGCTGCCAATTCGTTCAGTAGTGAGAATCTTTGTCTTCTTGACATTGAGCCTCAATCCATATTGTAGGCTGCAGTCCTTGACACTCTCCAGCAGGCGCTTCAGGCCCTCTTCAGTTTTAGCCAGCAGGGTTGTGTCATCTGCATAACGCAGGTTGTTGATAAATTGTCCACCAATCTTGACCCCACATTTCTCCTCCTAGAGCCCAGCCTCCCGGATAATCTGTTCTGCATATAGGTTGAAAAGGTATGGAGATAGGTTGCATTCCTGGCATACGCCCTTCCCAATTTTGAACCATGCAGTGTTCCCTTGCTCTGTTCTGATGACTGCCTCCTGGTCCAAGTATAAGTTTCCCATTAGAATGATCAAGTGTTCTGGGATTCCCATTCTTCTCAGAGTCAGCCATAGTTTGTTATGATCTACACAGTCAAATGCCTTTGCATAGTCAATGAAACTCAGATAGACATTCCTCTGGTATTCCCTGCTTTCAGCCAAGATCCATCTAACATCAGCAACAATATCCCTAGTACCACGACCCCTTCTAAACCCATCCTGGACTTCTGGTAGTTCTCTGTTGATGTGCTGTTCCAGTCGTTTTTGGATAATCTTCAGTAAAATCTTGCTTGCATGTAAAATCAGTGAGATTGTTCTGTAGTTTCCACATTCTGTTGGGTCACCTTTCTTTGGGATAGGAACAAATATCGATCTCTTCCAGTCAGTTGGCCAAGTGGTCGACATATTATTTTTATATAATTACTAATTTACATAAGTATTTACTTCTAAATTGACTGTTCTTTATATCTTTTTATCAGTTAATCTATATTTATTAGATCTAATTATAAGGTATACTAAGTCCTGAAGTATTTACTATGTAAATATAATGCACTGTAGAGAGTGCGTTGAAGTAATCACGTATTTGTTATTATATTTGGAATCACGAGTGGCATCCCCTTCCTAAACAACATGCCTCTGGAAACTCTGTAAGCTTTGATAAATGACAATAATCATACAAAGGCTTCAGGCCTTTTGCTCATAGGGTCACTATGAGTCATGCTCAACTTGAAGGCAATCAACAACAACATAATGTAATGTAATTATATTTCCTAGATATTGACCTATTGTTATTTTAAATGACCTACTATTAATTTAGTGAAAATTTGGTAAGGCAATTTTATTCTCTGATAATCCTGGATGATTATTTTATTTGTCATAATTTCTGTTTTATAGAAAGTAAAATGCTAATATATTTATTCTATATAAAACTTAAAAATGTGAGATTACTGGCTGAATAGTTATTCTACTAGTCTAACAAGCATTTACCTACTTCTCTTTGATGTAATATATTTTCCTCTGTATTAGAAAAAATAATTTTAACACAAAAGCATTATTTTTATTAGAAATATTTATGTATAATGTTGTCATGTGCCATCGAGTATGTATAATATTAATTTGTTTTATTTGAGCAGAATTATTAGACATCCATCATTTTAAAAAGAAAATTTTCTAGAATTATGTTCTTAAAAAATATTTTTAGAGTATACTCATAACTATGATTTAATTTTTAAAATATGTTCCAGAATTAAGTCTTCCTTTGAGGTCTTGATGTTACTTGATTCTTTCTATTATTTCTTCATCCTTAATAAAAGCCAACGTCCCTCCCTAGAATATAATATATAATTATAAGAACAAGTTTTGTATTTCAGAATAAAATTTTAATTAAAATATGTTAAAATAATTTAATCTTTTAAAAATTAACTATTAGCTTACTTTCAAATATATTTTTTACAGTATGATAAATATTTTGAGGGATTCTGACAAAAAATCAGAATAAAACTAGAGTCTCCAAGATTTAGCTTTAGTGACTCCTATAATCCTCACTGAGGGTGTTCCTTTTGTCACTATTTACTCTAGATCTTAACCTATATTTTCAGATTCTATACATTTTTTATTTATAAAATAAGATTGTCGTCAGGAGATCAGGAAATGTATTACAGTCTCCTGCAAGAAAGCCTGCAGAACAATCTTTCCAGTTACTTGCTATGCTGCTGAAAGCAGAACAGTGAATGAGAATGAGAGAAAAAAAAAAAGTGATGCCTTTGCACTGTGGTGTTGGAGCAGAGTACTGAATATCCCATGGACTTCCAAAAGAACAGATATGTCCTGGAGAAAGTGCAACTAGGGTGTTCCTTGGAAGCAAGGATGACAAAGCTTCATCTCAGATACTTTGGCATGTTGCTACGAAAATGGTATATACCTCGGAGAAGGGCATTTTGCTTGGAAAGGGGATGAGTAGCAAAGTAGAGGAAGACCGTCAACCAGATGATTTGACACACTGACTTCAGCAATGAGCTAGAACGTGTCAGACACTGTGTGAGCTTGGCACAGGATAGGAGAGAGTTCAGATCTGTGGTTGTTGGGGTTGTGAGTTCTACTCAACTTGACAGCATCTAAGAACATCAGTTTAGATAGGATACACTAGTCTAGTATAGAATCTAGATTTTTTTCAATATCATTTATACACTTTTATAGACTTCTTCAGTGTCTATTTCCAATACTAACTTCTGATAACTTCTTTAAACAACTTTCTTGGTTTTTTGTTAGCACTGAGCTATGTAAGTAAGGTTCCTAAACCTGCTTTAATGTGCATTATATAGCATCATATTTATTTTATCATTTATATGGGCAGAGAAAGAGCCACTTAGGACAATCTTGAAATATCTGAAGAATAGGCTAATAATTAATTTGTTCTGTTATGAGAATGTCTACTTTTGATACTTGAAGGTAAATATTTTGGTGATACCAATAAAACCTTAAGCAAAGATTCAGAATTCAAAGACCTTGAAACTGAGTTGGAAACATTTTAAAAACAAATATTTTCTGTCTCTTACATTGAATTCCTACTTGAAAGCAAAACCATGTAGTCTCCTCTTAGTATATATCTTTTACTATATTGTTGACTTTTCAGTTGAAACATCACTATGTCATTCAAAAATATATACTGTAGGTTCAAGTTTAATGATAATGCTTTTCAGGTGAGAAATTTCAGTAAAAATTTGAGATAAGTCTTCATTTGTAATTGTATACAGATGTAACCGAAGAAAAAAAGAAATGCCCTTTTAGATTCTAGAAGACTATGAAACAAGTAATCTTGATTTATTTTTTCTTTTCCCCCAGGAGGTTTAGAATCTTTGAAAAATCTTCAGCAACTAATTCTGGACCACAATCAGTTAATTAGCACCAAAGGTCTTTCTGATACTCCTACAGTTATATACCTGGATTGCTCATATAATCATCTGACTCAAGTTGAGGGCATTGAAAATTGTGGATTACTTCAGATTTTGAAGCTAAAGGGAAATTATCTAAGTGAGGTAATTGCTTTGGATTAGTTGGTTTCTGTGATTATACACTTTGGTAAAAATATAAATTTTTTTAAAAAGTGGAATAATTGAGCTTTTTGGGTTTTTCCCCCTCATCACCTACATTTGATAGGATTTACTTGACTGAATACTTTTCTATTTTAAAAACAGTGTGAATGAAGCACAGTGTGAAACATACTGTATACAAATTTCATATGCACACCACTGTAAAACAAAATGATTTTAAAAAAGAAAAATGTTCAACACAGTCGCACAGTTATATTTTATAAGTAAATGTAATTTACTAACATTTCTATAATATGAAAAAATATTAAATGAAGACTTCTCATTCTTATTTCAGTACATTAATGGACTCAAGTTTATTCTAATAATTCTAATTCAATAATTCTAATTATAGTTAATCATTGTTTTCTATAAAAGAACTAATTAAAGTATTATAAACATATATTAAAATTTTATTTATTCAAAGTATATCGTGCTTTGATTTTGATATTCAATTTACTGTAAAGTTGCTGTTGATTATTTTAGTGGGCTTAATATTTTTTTTTAATTTGGTTAAACCATGCAGTATTTCTTTAGTCTAATGGATGAAGCAAATTTTAATATAGGTTCCCTCATTGGAGAATCATGTCCTACTAAGAGAGTTACACTTGGATGATAACAGCATTTCATCTGCAGAAGCATTTTCATCATATTGGCTGCCTTTACTGCAATGTCTTACTCTCTCTCAAAACAGGTAAAAAAATAATACTTTTCTTAAATAATAAATGCAGAACATGATAGCATAAAATAAATATATAATAACATAAACAACCAGATAAGCTTTTGAGTTTTTCCTAATAAAAATGTGTCATAATAAATTATGAAATGAAGTTATAAAAATGCTTTAGAGAATTAGAAAACTTTTTCCCCTAAAATAGTAGAATATTAGTTGTCAATTGTTTTCATTTTGTTTCAGCTCAAAGGTGCACTTATAGAGAGTTCTCTTGGTAGTTTGTTTATATTTGTAAAGAATATAGCCCTTGAAAAATGCAGGAGGTAGTTAATTTAATTCAGAAGGATGTCTCATTCTCTCAAATGGTACTTATTAAGGCCTGGAAGAACGATTTTTAAACTGCTCTCAACTTGCATGTCTTTTTTGTAACTGTTAAGATTGATTTAAATTTGATTTCCCTAAGGATATAAAGTAACACTTAAAAAAATATCTTAACAGTAAATTGAAATGGGTACCTGCTACAGAAGATGCATTTGAGACCACCAAACATCTGGATCGTTGTAGAGAATAACTGTCTAAAACCAAAACAGGAGCACTATCTGTGTGTATATCCCTCAGTTTAATAATTTCATTGAGATCTATTCACTCTAACAGGGTTAATTTGTTCATCAAAGGCACATGGAATAGGGGAACGGAACCACCTTTAATAAGAAGTTCCTCTTCTGAATTCTCCAATTCTTGCAAAATAAGTGAACAAGGACACTGGTTTTAATGCATATGTATTTATTTAAAATACATCTAAAATTAACTTTCTCTTTCCATATTTGTTTCTGTTCTCTAAGGTGCATGCTCCAATGATTTTATCTATTAAATTTTGAAAAATTGAAGATTGAATCTGCATTCAAAATTTTCTTAAATTCTTTTAAAATCTAAAATATGAAAATTCATGAATATTTAAACAGACATTTATTCTCAGAGCCAGCGACATCAGATAACACTGTTTAAGTAAATTTGAACCCTCTACAAATCCACTGGATCTATTCAGAATATTTACCAGGCAGAAAATAAAATTAAAAATAAAATTTCAAGCTATGTTTTGGGTATAAAAGATAAATCATTGAGTCATTAGTTTGTATTATAGAAATAACTTTTCAACTATATTAAATGAATGTGTTTAATGAAATTAACATAAAACTGGCATAATGTGATAGGTCAGTGACTTTATTCCAGTTATAAGGGGAGAACTATGACAGTCTCCACCTGTAAAGGTTTATTGCCTCAAAACTTTGGTGTAGGATCACAATGAATTAGAACAGATTTAAAACAGTAAGTACTATCTTAGGGTGTACAAAAATGAGTAATATACAGCCTTACACTGAAAGAACTTACAAGACTGTATGAACTTTGTCTTTTAAGTTTGTCTACATGAACAAAACAAACAAGTAGAACTATTGTACATGCTATTTTAAATATTTTAATAACACTGCTTTTTATTTGAATATGTACTTTCTGGGATTTTGACAAATCTACTGCCAAGGATGTCTTTAAAGTGCTCGTGAGCAAGGTTGTCACTTCGAAGATTAAAATATACCTGATCATACCCATGGCATTTTTTTAGATTTAATTTTAATTTTTTCTACAAGTTTATTTACAAAATTTAAATAAAATTTGAACAAATTCTTTCAATTTCCTTCACCAACTCACTCATCAAATTGTACAACCCAATGATTAATCCTCCCTTCCCCCACACATCCACATCCCTCTGCTTCCAGACTCTCCCACCCATCCTGGATCCTTATACTCATTTTACAATAATAGTTTTATACAATATTTATCCTTGTGGGACTGAGTTAGTTCACTCAACATAATGCTCTCCAGTCCCTCCCAAGTTAGGTAATAATTTACAAAATTATTGCTTCTGTATCCTGCGTAGTATTCCATTGTCTGAATGTACCATAATTCCTCAATCCATTCATCTGTGGTTGGACATTTGGGCTGTTTCCAAGTTCTTGTGATGGTGAACACTGGTGTACAAAATTCCATTTGTGCCTCAGTTCTGATTGCTTTATATGAATATGAAGGTTGGACAATGAAAATAAGGAAGAAGAAAGGAGAATAAATATCATGCAGCTGAGTGGTTGCTGAGGATTACGGAACAATGGGTTACCAAAAGAACGAACAAATCTGTCTTGGAATGAGTACACCATAGTGTTCATTAGAAGTAAGGATGGTGAGACTTCGTCACACATGCTTTGGGCAGTTATCCGGAGGGACCAGTCCCTGGAGAAAGGCATCATAGTTGGCCGAGTAGAAGGTCAGCACAGGAGATGAACCTCAACGAGATGCACTGATGCAGTGACTGCAACGACGAGTCTATGCACAATAGAGATTATGAGGATGGCTCAGGGTTAGTCAGCACTTCATTCTGTTAAACATAGGATTACTGTGAGTCAGAGCTAACTCCACAGCACTTAACAGTGATAATACCATCAGCAGTAGAATGCAGTCATCTGACATAGTGTTATCACTTCGGCGCTGGCTTTTTTAGACCCATATCCCGTTTGAATTTTGTTAAATTCAAAGTTTTAACAGGCTTTTGTTTTAGGGTTTTTTTAATTATTATAATGATGAAATAGAATGAAAATATGGGTGACTTTGTATTGTAAACCTGACAGTAACCCCAATTGCCGTACTTGACAAATTGGCTTTAAAATTATATATTTTTACTTTTATTTCTGCTACTTTCATCACCAGATTGTGCCCATATGCTTTCTTTCCAACAAATGAACTACACATGAAGAATGATATTTAGTATATATTATTTGAAATACTTGTTTATCCTGATTTCTTCTTTTTATGAGAACATAATGAGTGTTTTAAGTTTGGTTCACTGCAGTTCAAACTTAGACCCTCCAACTTCAGACGACTTTCTCTGTCCAGTTAGACTCTAAGTAGGAGCAGAAAGTGGAAACTATTACCCTTTGGCTGCTCATTGTACAAATCTTTTGCTTTTTGTCGTCTTTGAAATTTATATCTTTTTTATGCCCAGGGCTAATGTGACTAGGTCAAGTGGTATTAGGTTTTCACTAATGTCCTTTGTCTTTCTGGTTTGAATTTTCTTAGAAAAAATATACACAGAATGTCAGTGAAAGGAACAGTTAGAATTGGTTCTTTTTTCTTCTTACTCTTTTTCAGAGTCTGCTATTAGGTTTCCTGCGTTCTAATGAATAGTCATAAAGGCAAATGAATAACTAGTTTTCTTGGTTAAAATGTAAAAAATAAATCAATTAAAATGCATGTGGGGTTTTTTTTAAAGGTTATTGCTCTTCAGTCTTTCCTAAGTTACTGAAAAGATAAAATATTTGTAAAAAAGGTACTTGTCCAAGCCATATATTTCTATACATAAACTGATTATTAAAAACTAATTTTTAATTCTAAAACATCATTTGTTATCTCCATTTAATGATTCTATGTAATCTCTCATTCTTTCATGGTGGTGAAGTCAATTCCACTCATAGCACTCAATTAAGTTTCCAAGGATATAAATCTTTGCAGGAGGTTGCTCATTTTTTCTAACCTATATGAAACCATTTTTGTTATAGCTTTTAAAAAATGAGATAATTTTAAAAAGAGAAAGTATATTTTTAATTTTATATTGGTTTACATACAAAATAGAAATTGTGTTTTATTTACAAACATTGTGTTCATGCATTCCTCCATTCACTTTGTGTCACATTATCATTCCCATACATTGTGTTTTCTAAAATTAATCACCATTGATCCATGCCCATCATTACCCGACATTTTCAAGTATTTACTGGATCTTTCCTGATCCTTCATCCCCCTTGCTCTGCCTACCAAAGTATGTGGTTTTGAAATTTCTCCCCACCCACCCTCAGTCCCCCTTCTTTCTCCCTTTCCCTTTTTGGAATTATCTTACTAGTAATATGTATTTTCACAATGCATGAGAAATTCTATTGTGAAAGCTAACATAACTAGTACATTACTTTTACTCTTCCCATGTGCTCATTGGAAAGAAAATTATTTGAGATTATAGAGATACTGAAGCTAAAGATTGGGAATGAGTCTAAGGATAAAGATTGTCATTGTTAGGTGCTGTTGAACTGAGTATAATTCTTATAGACCCATTTGACCTGAAACCTGCCCTATCCTGTGCCATCCTCATCATCTTTGACACATTCTATTGCTGAAGTCACGGTGTCAATCCATCTTGTTGGGGATTTTCTTCCCTTTGCTGACACTGTATCTTTCTAAGCATTATATTCTTTTCCAGGGAATTGTCTCACCTAACTACATATACAGAGTATGAAAGATAAAGCTTTGCCATCTTTGCCTCCAAGGAGCACTCTGGCTCCACTTAACCGAAGACATACCTGTTTGTTCTTTTCAGTACTCTTCTTCAACACCACAACTCAAAGAGTTATGTTGTCGTTGTTACATGCAGTCGAGGCGCTTACGACTCATAGCAACCCTATGAAGAGCAGCCCTAAACACTGCTCTAACCTGGGCCAGTCCCACTGCCTCTGACACAGCCATCCCCATCACCCCAGTCACTGAATCAATCCACCTCCTAGAGGGTCTTCCCCTCCTAAACTGTCCCTCCACCCTCCCAAGCATGATGTCCTTCTCCAATGACCTGTCTCTCCTTACAACATGTCCAAAGTATGTCAGACAAAGCCCCAGAATCCTTGCCTCCAAGGAGCAGCCTGGTTTTACCCTCTGCAGGATGAATCTGTTTGTTTTCTTGACAGTCCGTGGTATATTCAATACTCTTCTCCAGCACCAAAGTTCAAAGGTATTGATTCTCCTTCTATCCTCCCTAGTCATTGTCCAACTCTCTGATGCATAACAAGTGACTGCAAAGACCATAGCCTGTATTAGACACACCTTAGTCTCCAGAGTGACACCATTGCTCTCCAGTACCCTGGCAAGGTCCCTTATAGCACACTTTCCCATTGCAATACATTTTTTGATTCCCTGGCTACTGGTGCCAAGAGTGT